TAATCTCTCTATCCCCAAATTTCCACCTCCCCAAAATCCCAAAACCCCCCTAATCCACAAACTACCCCCAGTTTCCCAAAATTACCAAATATCGCCCCACATCTCAATCCTTCAATCCTATACAAAACGAAATAAAGAATAATTAGCCCGCACCAGAATTGTCGATAACAACTGAAAGTTTGAAATCACTGGTAACACGCGTCCGCACATAGAGGCGCATAATTTTATTATTATTTAGCGATACACAGTCCCGATTTTGATTTGCGGTGGTAGGAACGACAGGGATCAGGATTTCAGAGTGGCAAGGGCACGTGACAGAAAGTCGATAGGACGTCGCTGAAAATTAATGAACCAATCGTGTGTAACCTAGCTGGCCATGTTACCGGAGAATAATTAATGATACCGTTATTTGTACTTTCTTTGTTTCCATTCAGACACCAACTTTCGCGTGGGGAAATTTCTGAGTGCCGGAGTTGGAAAATCACACGGTATTTCGCCAGTTACGTGTCATTGATTTATATAAGCTCGTCGAGTATGTTATTGATTGAATGGAAATTTACAGTACTTCTCGTATGAATTTTTTATGGTTTTATATTTTAATCTGCCTTGTAACGGGGGATTTAATTATTCTGTGAAATATTGCATAAAGTTTTAATTGAATGACAACGAAAATGTTTTATGGTATTTTTAAGGAAAATTTAGGTTCTAGGTAGAAAGGGGTGGAATCGAGAAAACTCCGTGTCATACTACGAGGGTTACAAAGTTTGAGTTATGGATATGATTTATTACAGGACTAGTTTATTGATTTTGTAGAATATGAAGCTTCAGATGCTATTTTTATATCAGTACTTGTAATAAATTCCCTTTTGTTAAATATAAAGGCTATTTATATATTAAACTATAAAATGAAAATAAATACTATTGAAGTTCAAATTTAGAATAAATAGGAGACGGTAAAATTTATGTATCGCAAAATGGTGGATGATAGATCCAAGAAGAGATGTATTAATAACATTAATATTAGTTAATGTATATATACTAATGATACCATTATTAGTTAAGCTAAATATACCTATAACATTAGTATTAATTTTATAACATTTTTTCTTGATTTTCAAAATTTTTGTATATACAAATGGTACTATGTATAATGAATTTTTCTATGTATATTAACATCCATATATGTATATCTACGTGTACTAATTAATCTATGTATATTTATACTGGTACCCCAGTATTTCTAGTATACCAGTATTCCTAGTGTTCCAGTATTTCCAGTATATCAGTATTTCTATGATAGTACAGCGTGCAAACGGACGAGGAATGAGTATCACGCGTGGAAGAGCAAGTTAATCGGAGGTCGATTACTTGTCATCGAATACGTCGTGGTCATTGACGCGTGATGTATACGGGTGCAATCACATTGTTCTTCGCGTAGTCTGGGAGAGGCCTTAATTACACCGCTCCTACGACCGAGTTGTACGTTTGATTTGCGTGCAGGCGACTGTTACGTTAATTATCCGCGGACAGGTTACACGCTCTTACCGAACACGTCAATACTTCATTAAGCAGCTGCCCGTTCAAACTTTCTACGTCTGCTCATTTACTACTACATATATATTGCTCTCTATTCACTTGCATATTCATTAAGATTTTGTGAAACAAATTATTTTCTTACTTTTCTAATCGTTTAAATAATTTATGAAATATTAATTGGTTTTGTCTCTGGACGTACTTTGACGACTCTCATGTACTTGTTGTTCAGATGTGATAAATGTTTTTGAAGTGCAACTATTATTTTGCAGGATCATTGAATACATCTGGTAAATAAATCGAGGAGTTGAAGGAAGTAGCTCTTGTCTTGAAACTTTCTATTTCCTACAGGTTACTTATAGAGTTAAATAAAATACAGTCTAATATTCAGGTATTAATTTTAATATTTAGAGTGAATTTCAACAACAAACAAAAATTGTCTAAATATTTATGTCTGCACACGTTCTCAAGATTTTATAATTTCTTGAGTTCCTGCATTGGAAAAATTAATGATAGTTCTGTTACAATAAAACAGTAATAGTAATAGCACTAGTACAATATAATAGTACAATATAAATAGTAATAATAATACTAACAACACAAGTAGTACAATAAAGAAAGCAGTAAAGTATAATATAAATAGTAATAATAGCAGTAATAATAAAAATCGTAAAAATATTTGACCCCAAAACCAAAAGTAAATAAATCAAAATTAATCTCGAAAAGGGGGCCACAAAACCTGTAAACGTGGTTTATCAATTATCAAATGATTACCACGCCCTAAAGCCCCATTGTTTGGCGGGAGCACAACTAGGAAACGACAGAAGCGGTCAAGCCGCGGATCTTGAATGCTCAATTGTGCCCGAGATCCCTCCGTAATTCAGCACGCAGGGTGCTTTTCACCCTGCGGCGTAGAATAATAATCCCAGAGAATTAGCATCGGTACGAGATCATTGGCAGCCACTTGAAATAAACGCGAAGGTCACAGAAACGTGTCGTTGCACTATCGACCACAGGATTAAATCAACCCCCTCGCATCCCCACCGGTGAACAGAATTCGGTTGCGACGCAACGCGACACCAAGTTTGATGTTCATTATTGCAACGGGTGTTCGTCCGTTTCGATGATAAATGATCAACGTGTCAGGGGATGATTCTACCCTTTGGATACCAGAGAATTTCACGTGAAACTGAATTTCGTCCGGAGGGACAGAGACAGCGATGTGTAATGTCGTTTCTTCTGTTGCTCTTGTTTTGATCGTGTTCCGCTGGACAAATGGGAAACGCGGTTTTTTAACATTCAGTAGCCTTGAATTTTAATTTGCACTTGTGACACGTGTGCGATGCTTTTTATCGTTTTTTTACTGGTGCGGTTTTCCTGTTATGAAACAGTTGCTTCGCTTTTTGGGGTGTTTGATGAATTTGGAATTTTTAGGTTTTTCTGATTTCTGCGCTTACAAAAGTTAATATTATAGGTTTCAAATTTTTCTCATTTGTATGTCTCATTTCTATCTTATACCTATATTAACAAGTACTTATTTTATCACAGCTATGTGCATTTAAGTCATTGTAACCTAAAATCCATCAGGACATATGCATTAAAACATAACCTAGCTTAACCTAACCTATCAGAATATGTCTATGAAAACATAACTTATGAGAACATAACCTATCAATACATAACCTATCAGAACGTAACCTATCAGAACATAACCTATCAGTACATGACCTACTAAAACATATTCATCAGAACATAACCTATCCCAGAACATATCCCTCAGAAAAGAGAGTCCATAAAACCATCGAAACATAGAAACCAAAAATTCCTGCCCAGATTCGAGCTCCATGAAAATTGAAAAACCAACCAACTGTTTTCTCTGAAGGATCCGATCTTCGTCTTTTGTATTTGGAAATTCGTTTGGTAAATTGTGAAAAGCAGTGCTAGGATCGATCGAGCGTGCACCTGAAGGGAAACAGGGATAGAGTCGAGGAGAAACGGAGACCGTTCCCAAACTCGACGAGCCCCAATAATTCAGAGGCAAATTCTATGGTGGCTCGACAACACGGGCCGAACAAAGACCGTTGCCGCACGGACAAAGGGGTAGCCAGGATTGACCCCGGCCAAAAGTTCTCCTCGTCTCTGTCTTCTCTTCTCTCCTTTCGTTACGCGTCTCTCTCCTCTCTCTCTCTCTTTCTGTCTTTGCCGACCTGTCTCGACCATTCTCGCTCGACGAACTTGTGTCCTGTACGCGTGCAACTGCATCCCTGTACTTCAACCACCCCTCGCGTAAATGAATGTACGTAGCTCGACGTTAAATTAAAGACTGCTGTGCGGCTGGCCACCCTGGAACAAGGGGCGCAACAATCACTCGATCGAAGTGTTCCTTTCCGACGGTATTTACCGTAATTAACGATATATGAGTCGACAATATTTCGGGTAATTAGGGAAAATCATTGTGATTGAAACGTTTCAATCGCAGTACCTGTTAATCACCGACAGCGGATAGTTGATCAACCATTTGTTGTTTGCTCGACGATTCGATTAATTATGATTTGTTTCGATTCGTAATCACAACGTAAATAATTGATTGTCATTTCGCTCGACTAATTTAGAGGTACCAGCCATTTTTGATTACATGAATTCTGTAATAGTAATGTATGACCATCAGGAGTATTTAAATTTAAAAATTAATTGGGTAAACATATATATGTCATTCGAGCGATCAGATACATGACATATGTAGGATAGTGAGGTTATGTCACATATGTGTATCCAGAGCTAATATTTTGGAGACATATATTTTATGGCAGCTACAATACTTGTAGTTTTATGTACCTGTTTAAATATAAAAACTAATCAGTCAAACAAATATATAAACATATCACTTATTCAAACGATCAAATACATATATGTAGGATAGTAAGGTTATGTCACATATGTACACCTACAACTAATATTTTAAAGGCATGTATTTTATGACAGATATAATTCTTGCAGTTTTATACACCTGCTCAATCATAAAAACTGATCAGTCAAACAAATATATAAACATATTAATTATTCAAACGATCACACATCATATATGTAAGACAGTGAGGTTATGTCACATATGTATACCCACATCTAATACTTTAAAAAAACATGTCTGACGACAGCTATAATTCTTGTAGTTTTATGTGCCTGCTAAATCATGAAGACTAATCAGTCAAATAAATATATAAACATATAAATTATTCAACCAATCAAATACATAATATGTGTACGATAGTGAGGTTATGTCACATATGTACATGCACAGCTAATTCTTTAAAGCCACATATTTTATGAGGACTACAATTCTTGCATTTTAATATTCCTAATTATACAAAATAGCGCATAATTGAATCGTCATAAATTACAGATGAATAGGGTATTGTTACGCAGTGATTAATTGCTCTTTTGTCGATGTTTTTTGCAGGCAGGCCAAGATGGACGTTGAGGCAGCGTTGCTGGAAAATTCGCCGACACTGTCGACCATCTCGTCAGATTGCACCGACACCACGTATTCGGGCCCTGACTCGCCCTATTCCCCAGAATCACCGATCATCGTCACGTCCTCGTACAAGAAGACAAAGGATGACGAGGTCACGCCTAGACCGACACCCAGGCACCCATTGCCGCCCAGGAAGCCCAACTTCCGGATACGACCGCCATACCTGATGATCTGCATCAGCATCGTAGAGGTGAGCCATAAAATAATTACGCTCTGACGTTGCCATAAAATATATTATTTTTATTAGTATTAGGGTGAATTACATAATTAAGAAATTTAGGCATTTGGGGAATTTGGGGATTTGGAGGATGTGGAGAAGTTGGGGATTTGGGGATTCAGGGTTGAAGAATTTGAGAAATTTAGGGATTTGGGGCTTTTAAAGTTTGAAAGTTGGGGGATTTGGGAATTTGAGAATTTTGGATTTGAGGAATTGGAAAATGTGAGAAGTTGGGAATGTGAGAAGTGGGGACTTGGAAAATTGGAAAATGTAGAAATTTGGGAATGTGAGGAATGGGGACTTGGGAAATTGGAAAATGTAGAAATTGGGAAATGTGGAAATTTGAGAATGTGAGAAGTGGGGACGTGGAAAATTGGAAAATGTGGAAATTTGAGAATGTAAGGAATGGGGACTTGGGAAATTGGAAAATGTAGAAATTGAGGAATTGAGAAGTGGGGACTTGGAAAATTGGAATATGTGGAAATTCGGAAATGTGAGGAGTGGGGGCTTGGGAAATTGGAAAATGTGAGAATTTGGGACTTGGGAAACTAGAAAATATAGAAATTGGTAAATGTTAGTATTAGTAAATTAGAGATCGAAAATTGAAAACCTTGCAAACCACGAAAATCTTCCAAACTTCCACCCCTCAAGAATGCTAAACCCCTCGCAAGCACCCTCCAAACATCCCACAAATCAAGATCTCATCGGTATTCAAAACATCCCCCATAAAACATCCCCTGAGCCTCAAAAGAATCGTAACAAATCATAAGATAGCTCATCGAAGTATAATTGATTCCATTCAGCATATCCTGTAATCGTATTCCAGCCTTTCTACCCCTAAGAAATTCGCAACACCGAAAAGTATTCGTATTACTCGAGGACAGGATGTTCGAGCACGGTCGTCCGGGCTCGAAAAATTTCCCATTAGCCGAGTTAATGCTTCGTGCAGCAGGTGGAAGATGGGCGAAGGGGTTGTACGGGGGTGGTGCAGGAGAATCTCTCTCAATTATTCGCACGAGTTCACGAAGGAATATCGTGGTGGTATTTCAAGAAACTCGAGCTCGGGCGACTGGAGAAAGGAAACGGAATAAAAGAAAAGACTCGAGTGGAAAGAGACGGGACGTCGACGGCGACGTTTCGTTTCTCTTCTTTTACTCGTCCGCCGGCAGATTCTTTTCCCTCGGTTGGATAATAATTTCAGAGAGCTTATTCGAGCACTTCCGGTTCGGTACGAGCAGCGAACGCGACGAGTTCAAGCCGCCAACTTAAATGCACCTTTCTTTTCCGCCCGCGACCATTTTCGCGCGATCAAACAAAACTTAACGCCACTCGCGAGTTAATGAAACAAGAATACCGGCTTGACGCCATTTTGGGAATCGAATCTCGTGAACGAGAACGATAATCGACCCACGCGACACCAAATGGCGCCCTTACTGTTATCGTTACTGTTCCCACTTTATTTCTTTTCTACACTGAATATTTAATTATTTACTTACTTATTTAATTATTTTTTTTTGTGTTCATTTATTTGTTATTTATGGTATTTATTTGTTTAGTCATTTATTCATTTATGTACTTATGTATGTACGTGTTTGTATGTGTGATGCTGTAGATGATTTCAGAAATAATAATATGTAGGATGATTTATTTTACATGCTCGTAAATTTTAGTACCTAAGAAATTGTTTTTGCTAATACGATATTGTAAATTGTTTTGGAAATAGCAATGTGTCGAATGACTTACTTTAAACACCTATAAATGTTGATACTTTAGAAATTCATTTTACTAATATGATACTGTAAATTGTTTTGGTAATAACAACGTGTCGATTGATTTACCCATTTGCCTCTTAAAAAATATGCAATTTACAAGTCAAAATATTTGAAAGCAACCAATCTGAAATGTCCATAATCTCTAAAATCTGGGAATTATGTGAATTAAATTAAAACTACACCAGCAATATTCTACAAAATCAATACATTCCCAGCTCTGTAACACGTTTCCGCGTGACGACGTACTACACTCGTTACGGTATCGAACGTGTTAATTAGTAACATGGCAAACAACCTCCTTGATTATCAGCAAGACAGTAGCGATTGTTTAAAAGTTGAATTAATGGGAGTAATCAAGGTTGCATTCGTAATTGGTGAAAAGTTTTGGTTTGATTTATTAGGTAACTGTAGAGTCGTATTTACGAGGGTGCTTCTGATTTATCGCGTTCGTTAGCCTATCTCTCACGATATTGCGGAAGAACGGAGCTCGACCGATTATTAACGGGGTAAGAGAGACAGCGAGAGAGAGAGGACTTTTCGACGAGAGAGGCCACATAACCGGATATCGCCGTTTCCGCTATCTCAGCGGAAGCTAGCGTTTCATTAGGGCCACGTCTGGAAAAGCATTATCTCGTTCGTTTCATCGCGCGAAACCGGACGAGTTCGCGGTTGCCGATTAGATTTTCCTCTTTCGGCTAAACTATCATGGTTCCTTCAAGAGATCTCATTTTGCCACGGAAAACTGCTGCCGCCACTCAAATTCTGAATGCTGATACTTAACCTTTTATTATCTCGATGAAGTTCCAACGATTTTATTCATCCTTTATTAAGAGACATAATTATCCGTCCAATTAGAAACTATCGATTTTTGTTATGATACCAATCGAACACGTTTCACATTTATTAGCAATCCTTTCAACGATTGTTTGCTTATTAAGGACATAATTGCTTGGTAAAACTTGCACTTAATGATGATACAAATTTTTAGTTGGTAAACTTGTCACAAGCGATGAATTAATAGAAACAGTATTTGTAACATTTTAAATAAATACATTCTTTATGATGCACTTACATTATGCTATTCAAGAAAGAATATTTTTTATACACATATGTATGTATACATATGCAAAGGAGGTACTTTATGATGCACTTAAATTTTGCTATTTAAAAAAAATATTTTTTATGAACATGCATATGTGCATATATGCAAAGGAGGTACTTTATGATGCATTTACATTTTTGTATTTAAAAGAAAATATTTTTTATACACATATGTATGTACACATACGCAAAGGAAGTACTTTATGATGCACTTAAATTTTGCTGTGCAAAAAAAAACATTTTTTATAAACATATGTGTGTACACATACGTCAAGGAAGTACTTTATGTACATGTAATATGTGTGTTATGATAAATTCACAAGAACAACATTTTCAAGGAAGTTACACTACTGATCACTCTTCAGGTACCACCATTTTGTTTTAGACATCTTTTGTAATTAAAATCAACCTCCATTTTGTTCTACAATTTTAAACAATAAAAAGTAAACATATTTAACTTAAAATTATATTGCAATCTCATTGCTAAAAAAGACTTTGTTAAATAAATGAGTACATACATAAATCATAAATAAATAAATGACTGAACAAATAAATACATAATGAAGGAATCAATAAATAAGAATTTGTAAAGTATCAAAATCTACAAGCATCTAAAAGAAGCCATCCTACACATTATTATTTCTGAAACAATTTACAATATCATATTAGTAAAAAGAATTTCTTAGGTACTGAAATTTACAAGCATCTAAAATAAATCATCCTACATATTGTTATTTCTGAAATCATCTTCAGCATCGTATTAATAAAAAAAATTTCTTAAGTACTGAAATTTACAAGCATCTAAAATAAACCATCCTGCATATTGTTATTTCTGAAATCATCCACAATATCACATTATCAAAAAGAATTCCAAAAGCACTAAAATTTACAACTACCCAAAATAAACGATCCAACACACTTCCCGAAATAATGTACAGCCCCATATTGGCGCAAAGAACGAAATACTTGGAACACCCCGCGCCGTTACGAGGTCTATTGTCCCAGGGATGATAATTCGTAGGAAGTTTTCTGGGTCGTTATAGGGTTGCTCTCGATAGAAAGGCGTCCAATCTAAAACGGTTGAACTTAAAATTGCGGGAAAATGTAACGAGGATAGTAAAACGACAATGAACGTTCCCGAGGATAATGAAACGTCGAGATACGCCAGAACGATGCAACCACTACGCGATAGGTCGATCTTTTCGACCTCTTATAATGATCGTTCGCCGGAGTCTATCGTGTCTCGTTGGAACAGGCCGGCTTTTAGAACGTGACATTTACGAGAATAGTATAATAGCGCGTGTATCGTTTGACAAATGAGCCGCTATTACAGTTCATTTATCGCCGGTTCATTTATGGCTCGAACGAGTTCATTTACTCGTAATATACGGTAATCGCAAACTTTACGCGGGGCATTCGCAGTTTTATATTCTTGCGGGTTTATATCGAAACGCTACTTTACTATATTTGGCCTCAAATATCTCGAGAGTAACGCACTCGTTTCGTTTCTTTTAATTTCCTTAATTAAGTTTCCTTTAGTCTTAATTAAGATTCTTGTAGAAAAATGGCCGCTCTACGTTCCCTAAGGAGATTTATATTATACCTCCCATGAATTTTTATACTTAATCACCGTGCGAAGAAGATTACCGTCAGAAAAATTACTCGAGGAAACTCGATAATTTTTAAGCTTTAAAGGGGACAGTAACGATCTGTTGCGAGTACACGCGTGATTGTTCGGTTCCGTACATGCAGTATTGTACAACGGTGTCGCGGTAAGTAAACGTCTAGCACCGCACTCGAGAAGGCACTTTGCCAGTTGCTGGTAACAATCCGTAACATTTCGCGCCTCTTTGGTGCTTGCTGACATTCTACAACTTTGATTCTACATCACGGGTCGTGACACTTGGCGAGAATGTCCGTCTGCATCCTGCAGCACCTGTGCTTTAGCGAGTCTTTATACCGTCCGCTTTCAAAGGAAGCTGCATCACTGCCGGAAGCTGATCTCCATATTCATGTGCTCCTCTCATCTCGTATTTTGTTTCATGAAATTTTTCGATTTTCGACTTTTGATGCTTGGGTGCTTTGGAAAAGAGCACTTTGGGGTTTTTAAAGTTTTGGATTTGGGGAATTGTGGAATTGGGGAATTTTGGAATTGGGGAGTTGTGGAATTGGGGAATTGTGGAATTGGGGAGTTGTGGAATTGGGGAGTTGTGGAATTGGGGTGTTTTGGAATTGAGGAGTTGTGAAATTGGGGAATTGTGGAATTGGGGAGTTGTGGAATTGGGGAGTGGTGGAATTGGGGGATTGGGAATTTGGGAGTTGTTGAATTGGGGAATTTTGGAATTGGAGAATTTTGGAATTGGGGAGTGGTGGAATTGGGGGATTGGGAATTTGGGAGTTGTGGAATTGGGGAATTTTGGAATTGGAGAATTTTGGAATTGGGGAGTTGTGGAATTGGGGAGTAATGGAATTGGGGAGTTGTGGAATTGGGTAGTAGTGGAATTGGGGAGTTGTGGAGTTGGGGAGTTGTGGAATTGGGAAATTTTGGAGTTGGGGAATTTTGGAATTGGGGAATTTTGGTATTGGGGAGTTGTGGAATTGGGAAATTTTGGAATTGGGGAATTTTGGAATTGGGGAATTGTGGAATTGGGGAATTTTGGAATTGAGGAGTTGTAGAATTGGGGAGTTGTAGAATTGGGGAGTTGTGGAATTGGGGAATTTTGAAATTGATGAATTTTGGAATTGAGAATTTTGGAATTGAGAAATTGTGGAATTGAGGGAAAAAACCATGACTGCTCATAAAACCCAAAATTATCCCCACCACAAATTGCATAATCAAATTAAAATTGCCCACATCACACCCACCATCTGTACACTTTTATTGTTCATTCGCAGCAGAAATCTCAACAACGCCACTATCGTCTGCAAGATGACAGGCGTTAAAACACGATTAATAGCGGTCGAAGAAAAAAAGAGGAGGCGGGTAGGTGTGAATCGTAAAAAGAGTGACGTAGAAATGGATAGCCATGAAAGCGGTCGAAAAGCGTCCTTGGTGTTGGATGATTTACAGAGAAAAACGTCACGGTCTGTGCAGGAACATCGGCGAAACGTAAAAGAAAGACGTTGGGGAAAAAGATTGCCGGTAGAGATACGGGAATTTGTACGATTTGTGGCCCCATGATCCGTCCAGCTGTCGTAACTTTCGGTTGGACTGCCTTTCTGCTAAATATGCGGGTCGGGATCGTTTCGGGAAACTTTGAAGCGATGAAAAAATTCATGGATGCGTTGATGTCGATATTTAACATTCGTTGTCGAGATTTTGGAAGTTTTTTAGTTTTATAGGGATTTTAGTTGAGTTGGGAGAAGATTATTTGGATGGGGTGTGTTGGTGCTGGGGAATTTATTTGGGGGAGTTTTATTGGTTTATTTTTGGGGATTTGGGGATTTAGGGATTTAGGGATTTGGGAATTTAGGGATTTGAGATTCGGGGAATTTGGGATTTGGGGAATGTGGGATTTAGGGAATTTGGGATTTGGGAAATTTGGGATTTGGGGAATTTGGGATTTGGGGAATTTGGGATTTGGGGAATTTGGGATTTGGGGAATTTGGGATTTGGGGAATTTGGGATTTGGGGAATTTGGGATTTGGGGAATTTGGGATTTGGGGAATTTGGGATTTGGGAAATTTGGGATTTTGGGGAACTTGGGATTTAGGGAACTTGGGATTTAGGGAATTTGGGATTTGGGGAATTTGGAATTGGGGGATTTTGGAATTGGAGAATTTGGGAATTGGGGAATTTTGGAATTGGGGAATTCGGGATTTGGAAAATTTGGAATTTGGGAAATTTGGAATTCGGGGAATTTAGGATTCGAGAAATTTGGAATTTGGGAAATTTGGAATTCGGGGAATTTGGGATTCGAGAAACTTGGAGTTTGCAAAATTTGGAATTTGGAAAAGTTGGAATTTGCGAAATTTGGAATTAGGGAAATTTGGAATTTGGAAAATTTGGAATTTGGAGAATTTGGAATTTTTATACATATCTATAATATTAATTTCACTACTTAAGCATAAGAAAAATCGTACAAAAAGTCGAATGATGCTACACCATTTTGTCCACATCATTCGATTATCGACGGTCGAATTATACGATTGATTTCGCGATAACAGAGCAACACGTTTTTTCTCTGCACAACGAGTGGTCGATTATCATTCATAATGATGCGGGCATATTCGATTCGTACGTTATTAAAAGGCTGACAACAAGGGCGGTTTATTCGGCATTAAATAAGCAGTTTTGATTAATTCTGCCCGACCGAATCTCCATACGCGAATGGAATTAATTATTCGGTAGGTGGTTCGTCGATAATGCGCATTTGAATTTTTACTACTCTGTCATGCTCGAATAAATCACTGCTTCGTTATGCATTTATCATGCCCGTTTTTGCCTCTCATTTTTTCGCCCAGAATCGTCGGGAATAATTTGGATTGACGAAACAAGCGTGGGACGTCCACTGTTGCTGTCGTAATTTCTGATAAATAATTCCTCTTGCTCGATGATTTTTACTTTGATTAATTCATTTGGGGCTCTCGACTGTGCGTGGATCGGCGAATTTTGTTGTGAAATTGCTTGGTGATCAGTTGCGGGCATTTTGTGGAGTGCTTTGATAATTTTGGGATTTAGGTGTTTGGGTGATTTGAGAGTTTGTGGATTTGAGGATATGTGAATTTGAGGATGTGTGCATTTGGACATATGTGGATCTGGAGATGTGTGGATTTGGGGATCTGTGGATTTGAGGATATGTGGTTTTGGACATATGTGGAGTTGTACATATGTGGATTTGGCCATGTGTGGAGTTGTACATATGTGGATTTGGCTATATGTGGTTTTGGACATATGTGGAGTTGTACATATGTGGATTTGGACATATATGGATTTGGCCATATGTGGATTTGGTGATGTATGGATTTGAGGATGTGTGGATATGGACATATGTGGATTTGTACATATGTGGATTTGGGGATGTGTGGACTTAGGGATGTGTAAATTTGGGGATATGTGAATTTGAGGATGTGTCTTTGGACATATGTGGATTTGGGGATGTGTGGATTTGGGAATGTGTGAATTTAGAGGTCTGAGGATTTCAACATTGGAGGATTTGAAGATTTGGAGATTTGGGGATTTGAAGATTGGATGATTTGAAGATTTGGGGCTTTGGGAATTTGGAGATTTGAGCCTTTGAGGATTGAAGGATTTGAAGATTTGAAAATTTACAAATTTTAAGATTTGGACATTCAAGAGTCACAACTATAAATTTAATACTTCATTTGAGAGAAATTATAGGATTTAGAAGTTTGAAAGAAAGATTTCAAACATCTGAAACTTGTAAAGAGCGATTTGGAAACTCCAAAATTTATGAAGTATCGCTTACAGTACCCATCATAAATGTACAACTCTCATGATCCACCTCTCAACTAATCACCCCATCACTCTATTCACGAACACACCCTAAATCTAACAAAAGGCCTCATCCATATCAACCCTCTGCACTCGAAAGATGATACACCATTCCATTCAACGCAACAATACAAACATTTCCAAACGCAGTCTACTCCATACACCTGATAAACACAGAACCATTAATTAATAACAGAGAACCAACTTCGACATCAACCAGAAAGTGTTCCAATTTTCGACTTAAACTTTGACCAAAAAGTTAAAGACTTACTATTTCAAATCTTCTAAAGCACAAATTCGATTTAGAAAATTTCTACAAAACAGTACACCGATTAAAATTAGAAACACTGAAATTGCTTGTCGGTCACGATAGATAGCCGTACACTGCCTGGGGGATGAAGCGACCTTGCGTAGGTGGTTGGTCTACGATCCTCGTCAAAGGGTGCAGGGTTGGAGGTTTGCCTCGTACATGCTGCTGCACTCGAACGCACTCCACCTTGCACTGAACGTGGTCATCCAACTGGTGCTGGCCACTCCGCTCGAGGTGAGTTAATCAGACTAATTGCCGACTCGTCCAGGACCACCCTTTTTCCGCTTGTGACCCTTCCAAGTGTATCCTTCGTGGTCTCTCTGATCGATCGGTCCGACGACTGAATCGAGCGGAAACCACCGGGGTGCACCGCTCTAACGGCGATTTTAACCGGTGGAAAATTTCCTCACAAACTTTCTTCCTTCTTTAATTTTAAATGCATGTATATTCATTGCAAATATTCTTTTTTACGTTGTATCATTGTGTGAGCTGTCATTTTGTTCTTCTATTGATTAATTTAATTTTGTGCATTTAGAACTGTAGGAAGCTTGTTTGACTAGTTTGTAGTAATTCATTAATTGTAACTCGTTTTATAATGATGCAATGATACATTTCATGGTAAAATTTAATGATAGAATTTAAATCAGTTAAAGTTACATTTTAAGGTGTAAAGATTTTTATGTGTTTTTGGAGGTTCAAGTTGGAGTAGGACTTCTCTTCCACATTCTTGTGGTAAAATAAAAGAGGTGTATCTATGTTAAAAAGGACAAAGATAGAGAACAAATTTATTCATATGCAGCTTTATTTTTGACAAAATCTTAAACAGTTTTGATTTTTGTAAACATTCTACTTGTAAACGTTTATGAACATTAAGGTCAGTTTCAACATATGAAGTGTCCTGTCATTTGATGACATAAAGTCACTTCGTTATGATACATATACTTATTGCATGTTAATTTAAAACTCTGATGAAAACATTCTATGAAGACTAGTCTTTCTTAAAAGACTTCATACACGAACAAATGATCATTGACAATAATCAAACAATAATCTAAATTGCACTATTAATTCAACACAGAATCTCTCACAAAAGATCACAAACAAAAACTCACCTATAAAATGAGACTGAAGTTTCTTGAAGTTTCGAATAGAAATATTATACCGTCATATATTATGAATGCATTTGACAAACGTTTCATGAGGTGTCCCCGATCGAAACAGAAAGAGCAAATGGTTAGAAAAGAAAGAAAGTTTGAAGAGATCAGCATACTTTCGAACGGCAGAGAATAAAAAAGATATCGAAGACAGGAAAGTTTTGATGATCGCAGGTGGAGCAGGGTCGAATAGGGGTGGCAACGATCTACCTAGGGGGTGGTGTTTGCGGAGCCCTTGGAGCATCCCTGTTGCAACCAAGTTTGTTCCTGGTGGGTGCCTCCGCGGGCGTTTACGCCCTGCTTACCAGCCATCTTGCGCATCTTTACTTGGTAAGTCGACAGAAAAGTTGCTCGATTCATCGAGTGGAAGCCAATTGTTACCTCCCTTCAACTTCTCGCCACTGATTCGCCTGTTAACTTGCGGCTCAACTGTTTTCTACCCGGTATCGATTTTTTAAACTATTGGGAAGTAGGTTCTTATTTTTTGATGGAGGAATTTGGGGATTTGGGGTGTTGGTGTTTGGAGAGTTAGAAGTTTGATGATTTAGACGATTGAGGGATATTTGGGGAGTTGGGGATTTGGGGGGATGGAATTTTGGGTTTTAGGGAAATTTGGGGAGTTGGAGATTTGAAGAGGTAGGAATTTGGGGAGATGGAGATTTGGGAGGTTGGAATTTGGGGATTTAGAGAAATTTGGGGGAGTTGGAGATTTGAAGATTTAGAAGTTTGGGAAGATGGAGATTTGGGGGGTTGGAATTTGGGAATTTAGAGAAATTTGGGACATTGGAATTTGGGGATTTAGAGAAATTTGGAACGTTGGAATTTGGGGGTTTGAAATTTGGGGAAGTTGGGAGTTCGGGGGGTTGGAATTTGGGAATTTAGAGAAATTTGGGGGAGTTGGAGATTTGAAGATTTAGGAGTTTGGGGAGATGGAGATTTGGAGGGTTGGAATTTGGGGATTTAGAGAAATTTGGGACATTGGAATTTGGGGATTTAGAGAAATTTGGGACGTTGGAATTTGGGGGTTTGAAATTCGGAAATTTAGGGAAATTTGGGAAAGTTTCAAATTTGAAGATTTAGAGATTTGGGGACGTTGAGAGTTAGGGGTTTGAAATTTGGAGATTTAAGGAAAATTTGGGACGTTGGAATTTGGGGGTTGAAGTTTAGGCAACTTGGGGATATGATAACTTAGAAATTTGGGAAAATTAGGAATTCTTAAGTTTAGAATTTAGGGATTTAAGAAAAATCGGGAAAGTTGCGACTTGAAGATTTAAAATTTGAGGAACTTATGAATTTGACAATTTAGAAATTTCAGAAGTTAGGGATTCGGATCCACACATCCACACACTATCTATAAAACACAAATAATGCCCAAACGTGTCTCCCAAACTCCTCAGTTCTTCCTCTCTTCTTTTCTCCCATCTAACTCACTCCACCTGCCTCCTGCAATTCACCCCACTGTAATTATAATTACAGTGTCACGGAGAGTTACGCTACGCCGGTTGGCGTCTAGGCGCAGTACTACTCTTAGCCAGCGCGGACGTGGCATCGCTGCCAATACCAGCTCTTCTAGGCTGCGGCCGCGTCGGATGGGCTGCACACGTGGCCGGCGCCCTGGCAGGACCTCTTCTGGGTCTAGCAGTATTCCCGAACCAAAGCAAGAAGGACGCCAGAGGCCGGAGATTCGTCAGGTTCGTGCGTCTCCTATCAGCGATCAGCGTGATGCTGCTAGTTGTCGGCGCTATTCTGGGCAACATCTACCTGATCGCGCTGCCGCAGCTCAGGAAGCCATCCTGACAGAGGATCGAGCTGCTCGTCAAGCTCTGCAGGCGGTCCTTCCTCATCGTCAAGATCAGGGAGGCTGCTGAGAGCGTTTTCGAGTAGATCAACGTTGGAACCTCGTCCAACTGAATATCCTGTGACGATGGAAATGACCCATGTCAGATATGCCTATTCTGGACTGAGTATATCGCCACATTCTGGAGGGAATGTCTGGAAGAGAATATGTGGATTTTTCGATGCAGGGAAGGTGCAGCCTTGGATGACACTGCACGTGCTGAGTTTTCTGGGACTGTGAGGGTTGAAGGGTTGATTATGGGTATTAATGGGACTCATCTGGGACTCCAAATGTGCTGCTGTCCAAGAATGTGTTGACGTGAAACGATCAAGTGTAGGATCAATGTTTTGCAACCTTCTGACAATTTAATGTTGAATCTAGGAACATCGCCATACTGTCTTAAGTAAAATGTCGAAAGAGCTCTTCAGCAATGTTTGCTTACTCCGGTTGAACTCTATCACAATTATCTCCTTGAAGATTGGAAGTATCGATGACACAGTACCTAGGACACAAATGATCAAAATTCACATTGGATTAAGAAGAGATTCACATCGGTGATCATGGATTAAGAGGTCAGCTGCGAGTTTAGCTCGAATATTCTTGGACTCAGAGGAAGCAGAAGAATTCCGGAGGAAATTTGCCTCCACAGGTTCTCTAATCACCGGATTAGTCGTATCCTGAAGGTTTCTCCAAGGCAGAACGAATCGTCGGTTTCGAGGATAAACGAACGCTTGAGCGTCGTACAGATCGCTCGACTTCTCGGTGTAATTGAGCGTTTAAGACGCTTCGAGGTTCGACGTAGCGTACCCGAGTGTACAACCTAGTGAAAGAAGTGGGAGAATTAGACCGTAATGGGCTAGTTTATTTCGTATCAAATAAATTACTCCATGGAATTAATTAAGGGCTACTCCGTGAGTCTTCGATGAATTCATCATTGATTCACATAGTGACAAATGATCAATGATCTGACTATGATTATCGAACTCGTGGTGAATGTCGGACCGATGATTATGAGTGTACAATCGATTAGAGTAAGAGAGGATTTGTTGATCGATAATGTGTAGGTCTTTGTTTCAGGCTGTATGCAGAATGGCGATCAGCATGTGGTTTGTATATTCTTTTTCTTCAAGCTTCATGTTTGATCAAATTTGGTCAAGTTTGATCAAGTTAGGTCAAATTCAAGTTTCATCAAGTTTGGTGAAGTTCAAGTTTCATCAAGTTTGATCAAGTTTGGTGAAGTTCAAGTTTCATTAAGTTTCGTCAAGTTTGGTGAAGTTCAAGTTTTATCAAGTTTGATCAGGTTTGGTGAAATTCAAGTTTTATCAAGTTTGATAAAGTTCAAGTTTCATTAAGTTTGATCAAGTTTGGTGAAGTTCAAGTTTCATCAAGTTTGATCAGGTTTGATAAATTTTGGTGAAGTTCAAGTTTGATCAAGTTTGGTGAAGTTCAAGTTTCATCAAGTTTGATCAAGTTTGGTGAAGTTCAAGTTTTATCAAGTTTGATCAGGTTTGGTGAAATTCAAGTTTTATCAAGTTTGATAAAGTTCAAGTTTCATTAAGTTTGATCAAGTTTGGTGAAGTTCAAGTTTCATCAAGTTTGATCAGGTTTGATAAAGTTCAAGTTTCATTAAGTTTCGTCGAGTTCAAGTTTCGTCAAGTTTGGTCAAGTTCAAGTTTCATCAAGTTTGATCAAATTTGATCAGGTTCTTCAAGTTTGATCAAGTTCTTCAAGTTTCATCAAGTTTGATCAAATTTGATCAGGTTCTTCAAGTTTGATCAAGTTCTTCAAGTTTCATAAAGTTTGATCAAGTACAAGCTTGATCAAGTACTTCCATTAACTTTGTTGATAGTTATATGCATTTTTAAATCCTCACATTTTCTACTGCTGTTAGGTTAAATTTAATAAAATATATTGTCTTCGTTTTGATGTTATATTGTTTCAACTTCCAGTTGTTCTAATTCATAATCTAGATTATAATATGTTTATTGTGCAATATGTTTATTCTGCCAATGGGTGCTATTTATTTGTGCAAAATCACGTAAATGAACATTGTTGATGTGACACTTTTGTTGAAATTTTTCTGACCCGCAAAATTATAAAAATTCACTTCATCCAATTTTTATATGCAACCATAATTTTGCACTTTTGATAATGTAAAGCTTGCTAAGCATTTTAGGGTGTAAGTAAACCACTAATTAATATTTGAAAAACGTCACAATTAAATGTTTCTACGTTACTCTTTTTGATGCAGCCATGAAACCCATTGGCAATGAAAATTTTTCAGCAATGAAAAAACGATTCATACACGAAATGTATAATTTATAAACAAAAGTAATATTATACATGAAATGTATAATTTATATACAGAACGTAAAAATTATTTGTGAGAGGTTTTTCGATAAAATTTCTAATTTCCCGCCAAGTCTGCACGCAGCTTAAACGTTAATCGATAAGGGTGTTTCGATGAATTCTTCGATATTAATTACCGATAAGAAAAGTAGAGCAGTAAGTTCGTTATTTAAGCGAGGGAATTCGTTGGAAACGACGTCCTCCACAGAACATTTTTCTTGACGAAACCCGAGGAAATTGCGTGGCTCGAGAGATTCAGCTCTCGATTTCTCGATTCATCGTTCGCATTTCCTTTTCCCCCGAAACGATTGTACGGCGCGATGCATTTTCCCGGTTAAAGTGGATGGTCGTCGAGTCAAAAACCTCGTTGTCGAAGACGTCGACGCGTCTCGAATCGACCTGATTTCGCTTTGAAAAATTATACGACGCTCTGCTCGATTCGCGATCGCTCATTCTATCGCAATTTTACTCTTTTTCTACCATTCCCCATCGACTGCTTTTACATTTCGATCGTCATTATTTATTCGCGTCTTAACACTTTTTTTACTATTTATTTTTATTGCAACTCCCTTTTTATAAATATACGAACACTTGACATTTTTTTAATTATATATATTTTTTTGGTATTTTTATTAATTATATGTAATTCGTTTACTCTGTTATTTACTGCTTTACATTTTTGGTGGATAGAGCAGTAATATTTATGGTGGATGGTACTATACAGGGTGTCTCACAACTGGTGTAGCTCCCTGAATTATTATAAAAATAATACATAATTTATGGTACATCAAGCAATTCATTAAATATTTACTTAAAACTTCAAGTGTTCTAATATTTATAACAAATACATCAATGTACTTTTACTTATTTTTAACTTGCACTCCCGCTACGAATTTTTATCGCTTCAAATATGGCGGCAAATTTGAAAACCATACTTTGCGCTCTATTTTGCTGCCTTCATTTTATAGACTTATTCGTATTTACTGCAATTTTTAAGTTCTGTATATTTGACTTTTCACTGCCAAATATTATTTAAGACTGTCCAAGCTGATTGCCGACCAACGATTAATTTTAAATTCCTTAAACTTCGAATCATGGACACAGGAATAGAAGCACTGCGGTGCTCCATTTAAGCGGGAAATTTGAACTACTTTCGTACGTGAATGACATGTAAATACTAGAAAGAAAATTTGAATAAATATGTGTTAATCCAGTAAATGTATTAAATTAACCTCATATACAGTGGAAGTAAATGTTGAGAAAAAAAAAACAGAAAAATCGAACCAAAAATAAATAAATAATTTAATGAATGTAACGTTGAAGTTATGGTGCTAAAAGTTGAAGTAATCTGTAAGAATGAAATTTATAACCAAAATCAAAAGACGATTATCAAAGAGAATTCCCGGTGGAATTCCTGTGTCCATGTTTTAAGTGTATCGGCGAGAATCTGGTAGAATAAAAGAGAGGCGAAGAAAGAAATTCCCTAAATTGTCAAGTATACCAGGTGAATTTTTCACGCGTACGAGACTGGAATTCTTATCAAAACCTTAGTACCTTTTCAACGCTCTAATCGTACATCTTGTTCCCTAGAAACTCTCCAAATCCTCACCCTCTCCATTTACAACGCCACACCCTTAGCTTTAAGCGAAAAGTGTCTTTTATCGGCTCGCCCCGAACACGTTCGATTAAACGATCCTCGATTGCGGATTAGTTAATCGAAGTTTTTAGTGGAAAAGATATTAGAAACATTTAGCGTAGCTTCATTCATTATTTTGCTAATTTCGCAAAATTGTGCAAAAAGTGATAATTGGTGCTTCAATTCGTGTTTCGATGGAATTGTTTAACCTTGTTAATTTCTGTGCAATCGAGGGAATAAAAATGTTTCTCAAGATGATGTTTGGGGTCATCAGACACTCTTGGATTCTTGTAATTCGTCTTCAAAAGTCCACATTTGACGAGCTGGATAGTTTTATGTAGGAAATTGTTGAAAATTGTGTTCTGTTAGAGGTTTGAACTTCAAATGGGACGTTTTGAAAATGAATATGGAATCGAAGATTTTTAGGCAATCGGAGAATTTCTCCTGGAGCCTTAGGGTCTAATTAGCGTCTTTAATTGCATCGCGAGGCATTAACGATACTGCCAAAAGAATACATTTATAATTATACGTAGAAAGTATTCGATAGTGGTATAGTAGAGCCGAATTGTGCTCGAATTACTCACAAATCCTCTTGAAACATCGTTCAAATTTCGCAACATTTCTCCAACTGCATCCAAAAAAAAAACATACAAACTATTTCAAAATAAATTGCAAAATTATCTCAACATTTAGAGTAAACAAAAATATTGCAAATTTTACTTGGACCTTGTAAATTTCTTTTAGACTTTGTAAATTTTATTTATTCTAATTATATTTGATTTTCATCGAGAACCAAAGAATCATAAAATGATTTCCCTCAAATTACCATCAGTAAGGGTTGCAAAATGAGCCCCGAAATTTGAGATGCAAAAACTGTAGTTTATCGAGAAATGTTCTAGTCTACTTTCAAGGGTGATTTATGATGAATTCGAACGAAGAATGATGTGTTCTTCCCCCATGGCAATTTAGTCGATC